AAATAAAATGCCGAGTCCTCAGTGTCCGAGACCGAGACGAGACCGAGACCATCAATAAATGGTCTCGAGACCAAGACCATTCTCGAGTACTACAACAGTGTTGGTTGCGCTTATCTTCCAATCAGAGCACGGAAAATATCTGATGTCATATGGGCCTTTGAGTCCACATGGCACAAATCTGTAAGCTGAGTGGTTAAAAGAACAGTTCCACAGCTAGATTGTTTACTGAAAGTAAGTCTACTGTACAGATTGTGAAGGCCCTTGAGGTATTAGAGATTTAAGTCTCTGTAGTGCCAGGGACAGGGTCACCTGGTCCCTGGCAGTAATCCCTTCTCAATAATTCCTTGTCTCACCGTCACGGCATAGAAGTTGCCCGTTCGATTCCTGGTCTGTTCGCCCTGAGCACCTTGCCTGCTGTTGTTGGTCAGAAGGGCCGACGGCATAAAATTACAGCCTCTCTTCTGTTAGCCCAGTGGTTTCCAAACATTTTCTCTCCCCCCCCCTATGGATTACAAATAGGGAGAGTTAGACTCTGGCTCTCTTGTTGAACGATGTATGTTAACTCGTTTGGGGGGGGGGGGGTTAGGGAGATTCTTAGAGACTCCCTGTTATACTCTTCCATCCACTCAAACTCCCCCGCCCCCAAGGTTCATTGTTGTTTTTTTTTAATGTCTTCATTCATCCATACTGCTTCCTGTGCCCCCCCTGCAATGGCACGGTGCCCCCTCAGGTGGCGCACCCCACAGTTTGGGAACCTGTGTTAGCCCGGCCCAGAGCAGCTGTAGCTGCAATCTAGAAGCTTGCCATCATCATCTATGAATCTTTGGGGTTTCAATTTGAGATATAAAAGGCATTATAAATATTATTTCTTGTTCTAAAAATAACCATTAGGTCACTTTCTTGGGCTAAGAACTGCTGTAAAGTTAAATAAGGTGAATTAGCCTTTTTTGTTTCCAAGTTACAGATGTTTAATAGAAAATCTTGACTGTAATGATTATAAGTTGGAGCTCAGTAAAATAAACAGATTCTTACATCAGGAAAGTATGGCATCTACAAGTTAAACCTATTTTGTTTTTTTTTTCCTTTTTAGGTGTCCTATTTGCCCAGCAGTCGACAGTGGCAGGGATTATGGAACACCGCAGGAAGCAGAGTAACACTCAGGGAAAGCCCAGGGCAACATTTTTCCAACCCTCTTGTTTCTCTTACTCTACTGTTTCTCTTCATGGACAAAGAAACTTTTCCAACTGACCTGAATGAACCAAATTAGGATTTGCTCCTTTGTTCTTCAAGACAAAAAGACTGCCGTCTGAGCAGGAACATTTCAATACCATGATATTTTTAAGCTTTTTGGCCATCTACCCCCGATTCCAGATGGATCTTAGGAACACAATATACACTAATGATACTTTTACAACACCATCGATCTATTTCCTTACTATCCTTCAAAGAAAGAAACATGAACACAAACATAGCACATCAAACACAGCTACACAGCAAATATCTTACAAAATGACTTTCGTAACCATTTAGTTTCATGTGCTCATTAGAAACATTTTTCAAATTAACTGATTACAAAAATTTCTGTCAACCATGGCTTTTGCTTCAATGTTGTGAGAAGTTTACTACACAAAAGAGTAGTGTAGTAAAGACACATTATTCTTTGAAGAAATAATTGCTTTACCTGCTACTATCTCACTATAATGAGATACATTATATTTACTATTTCATTATAATATTATTATAGCCAAGTCATCATATCAAGTCATTATAAAGAGATTTTTTATCACAGTGGCAGAAATGGGCTTCCATACTTTACCTTCTCTTTTTACTTTTCCTTATGCAGGCAAGCCATCCTCATTTACATAATCTGCCTCATTATGCAAGTGAGGATGAGCGGTGTTTTAAGTCTTCTTAAGAAGATGAGGCTCGCCATCTTCTTCAACAAAGATAGCAAACAGTTTATCAATGACCTGAAGCTTAGCAACTTAGAAGATAATGGTGAGGTAAAGTAATTTATTTACATAGTACATTTTCAGCAACAAGGCAATTCAAAGTTTGCTTTACATGAGTTAGAGTAAATACAAACAAAGTAAAAGAAAAGCAAGAGAAAAACAAAGGTTTTCTGTAATTTATAAAGTAGTAGGAGTTTCTCTGAATAAACTAATAGAAAAGAAAAATAGTTTCTCTGGATTCTAAGTTTGTTCTAATTCCTGGTTTGGGTTGAGTGAAGTATAAAACTAAACATTCCTGTTCTGGGTTGCTAAGGAGAATAAGAATAAGTACACCAGGAGTTTCTCAATATAAACTAATAGGAGTTTCTCAGTTGCCCAGACTTTGCAAGGCAAACTGATGCTGATGTTTGTTTTTCAACTACATTCATATTAAATTAATTGGAATATTAATTATAAAAGTTCACAAATAAAAACCCATTATAGATTAATTGCATGGATGTTTTAAAGTTTTTAGGTTTAATTATTTCTTAGTTACAGCTAATGAAATCATGGCATTTCAGATTAGAATATTACATCAACAGTGAAAAATATGTGCAATACCTGCTTAAAGGTTATTTTCAAAAGATACTTTTAATCTAACATACAAGACTCATCGGAACTCATTCTAATTTATTAAATATTGTGTACTATGAAACTCATAATACATTTTGTCAGTTTTGGACCTCCAAAGAATCTAACTACAGGACAAACAAAAACACTTTAGTGTGTCTTTGAGTAGTATGTCATTTTGTCAAGGACCGACAGAAATCTATGGTTTTTTAACACAGTGTTAATTTTAAGCATGACTTACCAGCAGAATGCTAATCAATAGGGAAGCAATAAAACATGGCAAAGATTCAATCTGTGGAAAGAATTAGATGAAGTTGTTAACAGATGATGGAAAAATGTCAGTGTTTTCTGAGACAAATATCACTTGCTACAATCAAACATGTCTTGTCAGTCTTTTTTACATATACTGATGAGTATAACAAACCGTCTAGCTTCACAGTTTGTTGTTTTTATTAGTTTCTTTTGTAAACTTAATGATTTTCTTAATGATTTTAAAATAGAGAAAGTATAATACAGTGACATACTGTCTGGTTGGAAAATTCCTAACACCTTGCAATAAAAAACCCTCAGCACCACCACCAAGTTTACTCGGCATAAGTGCAAAAAAAAACTTCATGTGGCATATATACATACACACACATATACATGCATGTATATACACTAGCGGAACAAGTCATGGTCAGGCCGGGATGCGGGACCAATGACCGGGCCCCTTACGTGCAACACCTGCGCTGCTGGAAACTGTTGAGCAGGGGGGAGGGGGGTCTTGGGCTGCCTTTGTCATTTGATTTTTACCCAGGAAGCACATTGGCTAAACCGTCAGTGAAACAGTCACTGGAACCTTCTACTATATATTCCATTGAGGGACAGTAACTTCAACATTACATAAACCTTTCTGAACAGGCGATGGCGCACTTTCTCCGTCTATAATCATAAATTAAAGCGACCTGAAACCATTCCTCCCTCCCTGGCACCTCCAGACCCAGGCCCCCATGGGCACCCATCCGGGCCCGGGCCAGGGGGCAGCCGCCAGAGCTATGGGTTAAATTATGATAATTTAACTTTGCATTAAATTATCATAATTTACAGAATCATGCAAAGTTGGCACTTTTAATGCAACTTTTAGAGCAACTTTGCATTAAAAGTGTCATTATTTACCAAATGACACTTCATGACAACTGTCATAAACATTCATAAAGACTTCTTTATGTTCATGTTTATGACAGTGTCATGTCAGTCTTATAGACATCCCTGCAAATAAAGTGTTACCTAATTATCTTATTATAAATTATTTCACCATGGAAAAAAATATATATACATATATCAATATGTGTATAGACATAGATAAATATATATAGATATATAAGAAAAGGTTGGTCCCCAATCTTTTTATCACCGCGGACCGATCAAGCCTTGGCAATTTTACTGCGGCCCAGGGGGATGGTGGGAGGGGGGTGAACCGTCAGACAAGGCTTCTGCATGTTGGTGTGCCCACTAAAGCCTAGTTCACATGGCACAATTTTCAATTTTTTGCCCCGATTTTACTGTTAGGACAATCTTTGAATGTTCTGAAATCTAAGATTGTTGCTTGAGATGATTTTAACCGATCATCCTGCCGTGAGGCTCAGCTCAGTGCTGCCTCACCAGCTGTGCTTCCAACATTTGAATGGGAAATTCAAATGTCAGCAATTTTGAAGAAAAAATAATCAAAATTGGTTAAGCTAAATGAAAAGTAAATACTTTGTAGTGCAAACCACAGGGTGAATATAGCAATATAAAATATATTATATATTGTTTTTCCAGGACAGGTGAGGCTCTGCCTCCCCTATCTGCACGTCACTGATGCATATACATATATACATGTTTACAAATACATATATATTACAGGGTTTGCCCCAGAAAACTTGCTAAGCCTGCTGGTCGGGCACCAAGGCGGTCCACCATGTTTTTGTATTAAAAGATGTTAAGTAGACAGAAAATGTAAAAATATTACTGGGTAATTATATGCTATGGGAAAACATCGTCAGTGAAACACTGTTTAAACCCACAACTATAGAATCTTAAAAACAACAAATAATTAAAAAAACAATTAAAATGAATATCAATCATTTGCACTTCTGTTTAATCCAAATTAAGTAAGTGGTTCCATTAGATCCCCTAGGGATTCAAGGGCCCCATAAACACTAATATTTTGCCAAAGACCACAGATAAATAAATGTAACTTATGGGTTAAGGTTAATAATAATAAATGTTTATTTATTGAGATGATCAATGCTGCTAAATTTTATTTAATTGTTTCAGAATACATAAATTAAAGTATTTTAAATTGTTTAACATTTAAATGTAAGATTTTAAGGAGCTGGCAAGTTTACTTTGTAAAACTTCAAAGAACAATATTCATAGTTAGATTGTTTTGTTACCCTAGCTACAATCTGATGCTCTGAGTTTAATCTTTGAGTTTGAACTGTTTGTTCACAAATAGAAATTAGTAAACTGCAATTATAACTGATTGTTTTTAGGTTGGCCAATTAAACTACTCTTCCAGATTTCACTAAATCTAACACAGAAACTGTTAGAGGTGCTGATGTTTTAGCAGCAAGAGGGGTCCCTAAGTCAAATTCTCCTCCAGGACTCATACAGCCTTGGACCGGCCCTGCATGATGAGTTAAATCCGCTGCACTGCGCAGAGATGAGCAAGAAATGGGAGATTTAATTCAATGATGCTAATTTGGCTCCAAGTTGCTCTTCAATTTCGTGTTTGTTGAGTTTTTAGTAAGAGTCACAGAAAATGTTTTGGTTGCTCGAGTTTTAAGGGATGAGTTTCTCAGATCTCCATGCACATTAACTCTGGCTGACTAAGTGGACAAAGCATTTGATACGGTTTGATGCTTAGTGCACCTAGAAAACTAATACTAAAAATAATAATAAAATCATATAGTAGTGTAGTGATGAGTGACTACGAGGAGAGCGCAAAATCTCCTCACCGGGCTGAACCTGCATGATGAGGTTAGCGCTGGTTCGTTAACCACTAACGCTCTGACCAACTTGGAACACAGACATGAACTTTACAGTAGGGGTGACAA